TTCTGCAATGATAAAGCTTCATCCGATCTGGAATTGTCCAATACATCAAATATTGCCCCCGTCGAAAGTAAGAAAGAGTAAAAGACGTTGTTTTTAGTTTTTACGTATACCTAAAATAATTAGGTGATTTTTCAAAACTTTTATTGTTTTTTTTTTTATTACGCTTTACTTGGTAATTTGTTTTTTCTTTGAATATTTTCTAGCGTATTTTTCTTCATATTAATTTTACATTTTTATACAATGGATTTTTTGTTGTTTTTTTTTAAGTTACGTTAAATAAAAATTTTTTAAATTACACGAACTAATATTTATATTAATTTTTAATGTTTTCATATGTACATATATGTATGTATATATACTATATATATAGATATATTTAAATATACTACGTAAGTAAAATTACAAATTTCACATTTCCTTCAACGATTTGTATTTGTTTATTAATATTTTTTTTTGTATTCAACTGAAGATATCATTCGCCGACTTTCGCACTATTTAACTACATTATTTACTATGTTGTATGTATGTATGTAGTTAGTACTCGTGTATACATTTGCAGACTTGTGTGTTGTTGTTGTTTGCACGTATGGGTATGTCTGTAAGTTTGAGTTTACGGAAAGAGTTGAATATTTTTTTAAAAAGGTTTTGGAGTGCATACAAACATTTATACATAAAGTGTAGATATATGTACAGTATCGGACATATCATTTTGGATCAAATACAAAACGATATTGTTTGCCACTTGTTTATTTATTAATTTTTATGAATTTTCAATTAAAACACAGTTATTCTCTCTCATATACCATAAAAACCCAATTATAAAACTTTGTAGAACACTGAAAAAAAAACCAATTCATAAAATTTTAATACAAATTTCGATTTTGTTTCGCAGAACTGCTAACATTTTTTTTGAGTAGATACACAGTTTTATAGCCCTTTAAATTTAAGTATAATAATCGGCAGTTTTAAATGTCTAGGAATTACCGTTGGGAATTTTTGTGCCGCATTTGCTTCCATTTAACGAGTAAATACAAATTTATTTTTACATGGAAGAAAACCGCAAGAATGTGTACTCAAAAATGTGTTACACTGCTAAGAAACGCGTTTGAAATTTGGATGACAATTTGATGATTTTTTTCTCAGTGTTCTGCAAAATTTTAATCTTGGATATGGTACTTGTGAGGGATTGACCTGTATTTTAATTTAGAAATTTTTAAAATTAATAAATAAACATTAAGTGGCAAATAATATTCGGTTCAAAGTTATATGTCCAACACTGTAGGTAGGTATCTATGTATGTATGTATATATGTACATACTACATACTTTAAAGTAGATGTTTGCTAATTTGTTTGCACTATTCAATTGAATTGCTCAGCCTCATTGCGTAGGTCTTAAATAAGCCTAAAATGCACGACTCGAAGGCATTGACATTGTCTATTGTCGGGATGAAATAAGTAGTAGACAACGAAAACTGTCGAAAACTATGCAGCGCTGCCATGCTGTTTTCCCATTTTAATACACCAGTCGAATGGGATTTTTAGGCAATGCCATGAACTTTTCAATACGACTCGACTCTCGAAAAACGACTTGCATTCGACACGATATAGGGAAGATATTTTATAAGAATATTTATTTTACTTTTTTGTATTTACACACGTATTTTAGTTGTATTTTTTCGTAATGTGTGTGTCGCCTTAATATTTTCGGGCTCTTGCGGGTAGTTTGCGTTTGATAAAACTGTCGGCTACTCTACCTCATGATGCTACGTTACATTGCTTGTAATGCAGTTCAAATGTATGTACTATGTATGCTTACTACACAAGTACAATTTTAGCTGTTGTTAAATTGTTGTTGCTGCTGTTTTTTTTGCCAACACAGTGCGCATTTCATCCAACCACTTCCCTAATTTATACAAAAAATTTCATCATTATTTTTTCAACTTTGCATAGCCAAATTCAGTTTTTAGACGAGCTTCTTTCCATTTTGAGTTTTTAGGTTTTTTTTTCTTCTGACTTAGTACGAAGATATGAACTTGTTTTCGATACAATTTTCTTATTTTGCGTAACGTATTGGCATTAAAAATTATTTGTATATTTATCTAATTTGAGTTTTGTCATCGGTTCTAAAGCAAAATACATTCAAATAGAATTAATTTTTTTAATTTTGGCGTTAGTTCTTTTTTTAATATTTAAAAAATTTTTTTTTTGTAAGTAACTTTAGCTAAAAGAATGGCATATTACAAAAACATTTCCACTTTAAAATATTCAATTCAATTTAATTTTGTTTTCTTAAAGATCCTTAAATTACTTTTCAAAATTTGGGTGTATTACATCTTCTTTTTTAAAATAAAACTACTTTTTCTGCGATTAATTTCGAAGTACGCAGCGCTCCACGGCGTATACGTAACTAGGTGGTTGTAATTGAGTGCTTGGCGGGCATGCA